GACGAATGTCCCGTTTTAACCACGGACGCCATGCCTGCACCGCATACTCGAGGTGGGGACGAATGTAGGCGTTAATCAATAATGGCACGAGTTGCCGCTCGAAGGTACCGAGCGCTCGCCTCAAAAGCCTCAAGTTTAGGTTCGCTATGTTAGCTGCCTTTGAACATTGGAGCGAATTACCCAGACCTTCTTGCACGATGACCCCTAAGTCTCTTTGGTTGCTCACCTGTTTTATAACGCGCTGCCCCAGGTGATATGTGTTGCTGCAGTTACTGCGCAGCGACAACAGGTGACACTTTTCGGGGTTCAGGGGTAGTTGGTTGTTTACTGCCCATTCGTGAATCCGGTTCAGGTCATCCTGCAGATAGACAGGGTCAGATGTTGACTGAATAGCTCGCCACATCTTAGCATCGTCGGCGAATATTTGCATAGGCGATTGAATGTTGGCAGGGAGGTCGTTGATATAGACTAAAAAGAGTAACGGGCCGAGAACTGATCCTTGCGGTACGCCGCTAGTGACGCATAGGCTATCGGAGTGGGTGTTGGTGATCCTTACCTCGATTCTTCTGTCATATAAGTAACTTTCCAACCATGTGAGCAAGGATCCGTGGATACCATAGGCCGCAAGCTTTCGGAGAAGTGCTGGGTGATTGACTCTGTCGAATGCCTTAGAAAAGTCTAAGTAAATCACATCTACGGGAACTCCCTCGTCAGCAGCCCTGGTCCATGAGTCCCGAGCAAGTAGTAGATTGGTGAGGCAAGATCGTCCGCGTCTGAATCCATGTTGGAGCTTGGAGATGATTTGTAGACTTTCAAAATATCTCACCATTTCATCAGCGATTATAGACTCCATCACTTTTGATAGAACAGGAAGGAGAGTAATAGGTCGGTAGTTGGCAGGGTCTGACCGCTTACCTCCCTTGTATATCGGAGTGATAAGTCCACGTTTCCACTCAGACGGAAGTGTATGAGAATCAAATAGAAACTGGAAAAAGGTTGCAAGGTGGACTGCCATGGTGGGTGCAAGGGTTTTGAGTACTTTCGGACAGATCTTGTCAATTACCGGCGCACTATTTTCCCTGAGCGACTGTAATTTCTTTGCCACAGATGTAGGGCTAAAGTTGACCGTGGATAAGCCGGCGACATTTGCTGGGATGTAGCAAGGCGATGGTTCCATGGTGTGTCTAGTCACTGAGACAAACTGCATGAGCAATGCGTCCGCGGTCTCCTCTTCAGTAACCGTTAGGCCATTGACCGTCTCTAGTGGTGGTATTCCCGTCTTAACCTTCCTTTTGTCATTCACATACCGGTAGAGCAGTTTGTGATTGCTAAAAAATTTGCGTACCATAGTTTCCTGCCATTCGTACTTGTCAGTTTTAAGGAGTGAAGTGCAGTAGTTTCTGACTGTTTTGTAATGAGTCCACGTGATATCACTTGGACCTAGCAAATGACCCCTCCAAGCCTCGTCTCGCCTATTCAACTACTTCCGTGTTCTACTCCGGATCCAGTTGTTGCTCCGTCGCGAAACTCGTAATGGTACGTCATTTGAAGCTGATTGTAGGACCCAGTTTATCTTGCCTTTCAACACTTGCCAGGCATCATTCGCCGAAGTGTGCATCTGGAGGTCCCAGTCAACGGTTGTCGCTATAGTGTGAAGCTTGGAATAGTTGGTGATGAATCGTCGGGTTTCTGGTTCTTTGTCAACCATACTGGCATAACACACATAATCAAACGTTAGAACTGAATGATCGCTACAACCTAGCGGGGGGTTGTATGAAATCGACTCAACCATTAACTCCTCATTAGTCAGGATTAAATCAAGTATTGAAGGCTTGTTTGAACCGCGGTGTCTGGTTGGTTGATCCACATGGTTATACAAAACTGCCATAGTCAAGAACTCAAGGAGTTTTGATTTGAAGCATGGCCCACTTGGGAACACAGATGCTATTGACGGTACATTGAAGTCACCCATTATTAGGTAGTGTGAGTACTTTTTCGACATAGCATATTGGAGAGCATTTAACAGAATATCATCGCTGTCGGCGGAGGAGTTCGGCGGCCTGTAGACAACTGCTATGAGGCAAGCATCATGTGTCTTCTTCTGAGGACAACCATCGGGACCGGATAGCTGCAGCCGGCAAAATAAGGCGTCGGGGATAATAAGGGAATGCTCAGTGAGAGCTTCACATTTCAGGTGATCTCGGTAGTAGATAGCAACGCCACCACCGCGAGATGGACGATCATTTCGAATGACTGACATCTCACTAAGTTCAATTTCTGGATCCAAAATCTCGTTTGAGAGCCAGGTTTCAGTTAATGCTATGATGTCCCAAGTTGCTGCTTCATGCCGATGGCGCAATTCCGGCAACTTGGAGTAAAGCCCTTGGGCGTTTGTGTAGCAGCATTGCATTTGTTGCCGCATTAGGAGGTGGATTCGCTGTGTTTGACCGGCACAAACAGTGCCGGTCTGCCCACGTTTTTTGACACGAGTGTTTGCACGCTTGGCTGGTCTATGGTCGGAAAAGCCAGGTCTGACTCAACTGTACCAGTGGTCTGTACTGCTTGCAGGAATGGTCTCAGTCGTACTTCTGGTGGTCCTAGCCTTCTGCTGTGGTACCACACGTTAATTGCCATTGATGCCATCTCCGGCGTAGCCAAGGTAACTTTCAAAATTTTCCGCTTGCTCTCTTGATAGTTTGGGGAGGAAGCTAAGCGGCTGACGTTGAATGCCACAACATTCTGCATGCCATAGAGTTCTGTGATGTAGCGCCACTCATCAATATCGTGTTTTTGTCTTTCACTGGTGTCGCCATGTTTCAGTTCGGGCACACCATGAACCAACACCACTTTCTTCATTACATTTTGACGAGACGCGGTTGGGTCGGATTTTCGCTTTTGTCTTTCCTTCCATGGCATGTCTGGAAAAATGCGGGCACTGAGAGAAGAGTTCGGTAGACTGTGGCTTGCTAAGAGAACATCCTCCAAGTCCTTTGTGTTGCCAAATGTTACTCGCAGTAACCGAGGTTCCCCTACGTGAGGAGACGATGGGTTTCGTGACAGACGTGTAAGACTAGTTGGGAGAACGTTTAGTCCTAGTGCGCAGCTTATCTCAGTCCAGCGATTTTGCTCTTCGGCTTGTCGACCTTTTAACGACTCGCTGGTGGGTTCTGGTACGCTTGAACATATGACTGTCATCGCTTGTTGGTTGCGTAGTAATTTGGTTTGTTGCAGTTCTTTTTGGGTGGAGGTTTGTCGTGTGGGAGTGTTGGTCTTGTCTTGTGGGGAAGATTAGTCAAGGCTGCAGCAAGAATTCTCCTGTGCAACGACGTTATTCACACAGTTTGTAATGTGCTGCCCAGCTAATAGCGATGATCGTGCAATTTGTGCATAACTCTTTACGCCTTGCGGTACAACAGAAGATTTTATAGAATTGTCAACTGGCTTGGCATCACAGTTGTTTATCGCTAATGGTGCTTGATTTTCGCCGGAACGTGTAACATTTTTAATGGATAACTTTGGTCTTTTGGTAGGTCTGGGGTTAGGACTACTTAATACACTAAGCTGCAACTCGAGTTCAGCGATTTTCCCTCTTAAAGCCTTGACCAATTCTTTCTGTTCGGATGACGCAACAGCCAACATTTCACACCTCGCGTTGAGAGTTCGGATAATCTTGGCTATTGGGCTATCTGAACACGCATCACAGAACCACTAACTATTTGTTATTACGCTGCGGTTTCCGCCAAGTTCTGAGTTCACGTCCACTTCGTCGTAAGAATTTGCACACAAAGAGCACGTGATTTTTGTGATGACAGTTCTCCGCTTACTTGAGCCATGATTGACCTTCGTTGTTTTGTTCACGCGTGGACCCGCTGATAAACTTCGCCTTCCCATGGCTTAGTGACTCGTATGCACTTTAAATCACGCCGGTCGCACCGTTGTGAGCTGCGTGAATTGACTAGTCCGGCTAGCGGTAACCGTCGCTGTCCGGGTTTGGTGGTGATGGGTCCTGCCGCAAGCGTGTATGGAATCACAAACATTTCGTGTGGTAGGGTGCACGAAGGAATATAGATGAAAGGACAAAATAGCCAGTATCTATGGTGTATGGTGGTGCACAGTACTAAGCTATATGTCACCTGATAGCTTTAGAAAAGCTCTGTAGAATGGTTTCTTAAATTCACTGAGGTTACCTTGAAAAAACAAGCTTTCAAGCGTGGTTCTTAATGTACGAATTGCCGAAGACGCCGGTTGGGATGAAATAGCGAGACGGAGGACTTACTGCGCAAATATAAATCCCGTTCGATAGAACTCGGCGAGCCGAAACGAATGAGCGTATTTCCGAGAATGTAGCACAAAAATGAACGGAATAATCCAGGATTACCACAGAGCACAGAATTATGCGACCGTCTGTGACCTTGCACGTAGACTGATGATGATGCTAAGCGTGGACATGCGAACGGTTAAAGCCGTGACCCGAAAAACCTGGTGTTTGCCTTGTAACTCAACGATCACCGTTTCGAATCTTCGTAGGCGCGGGCGACCTCGGAATAACACTAGCCCATGCACGATTGATGGTGACCGCGTGGAAACGAAGCGGCTGTGCGACATATCGCTGATGTTTAGTGCACTGGCTCATAAATGTTATTTATTCCGTTGGTAGTTCCGGGCATACTATGGCATCAGGCATCTAAACGACTAGTGAACAACAACCTGAATTAGACGCCTAGCTAAATTTGACCAGGTCGCCATAGTTGCGTCTAACGCATGGTAGTATGGTTAACATTTCCCCCTATTGATACGCCAACTTGAAATTCCTATAGGTCGTCAAAGCACGATTGAGGTATTCGGTTTTAAGATAACGTACATATGTGCAAATGCGCAAAATCGGGATCAGCTAAAAGAAAGTTCGGAAAAGAAGACGCGTTAAGACAAAACCCGGGAAATGCCATTGGATGCTTAGTGCTCAGAGGAAGAAGCAGACCAGAGAAAATGAAAACACAAACCTTCTACCATTGTGCGATGTTTCTCAGCCGCCTCGGTGCGAAGCAATTTTCGGTCTTCCGGATCTACCGGGCGTCCGTTGGTGGGATCGCGCCTGACGATGCGACCGTGAATTGGACACCGACCACTAGGGTCACGACGGGGACACAATCGGTTGGACAGTAAAGGTGCCCAGCAAGTTAGTTTGTTGATGGAGGCTAAGAAGGAAATAAAAGGAGCAGTCATTATGCATCGAAAAGCATTCGTGTCCATCAAAGAAGAGATATGAGGTGTGCAGTGGCACTGCACTGAATTAATGGGCAATGGCGCCAAGCGTCTGTATATGTAAATACATGTAGGCCCATACCAGCGTTAGCTCGACAAGCTGAATAACTCCACATATTTAGTGCTGTGATCACATGTATAGAGGAGTAACAAACAGCGATAACTCGCTTATTATTCCTGGTGGCGACCACCAAGCTCTTCGTACGCTAGTGGTCTAAGTGTGAGCCGGTCGCGAGCACTAACTGAAGTTAGCTGATTTACCTATCTACATAAGCTTGGTTTCAATCGCCGAATCACCGAAACTTTCGCAAACTGAACTGTGCTAGCAAGTCAATAACTTCACAAATGCATACACAGTGACGAAAGAGGACGAGATGTATAAGCAGGCTGCAATTGCTGGGTTGGAAATTGTTCAGGGCAAAGTGGTGACGTTAACTGGGTGAAAACTGTATAGTATATCAAAGAGAACATCGGAGAGACAAAATGAGTAAGGTGATTCTGAACAACAAAACCTTAAAAGTTGGAGAAAAAGCAAGAACCGACCTGGCAAACTTGATGTAGATGGCTCACATCCGGTTTCTGTATCGATGGACTTCGAGAGTTCAGGGCTAGGCGTGACTGGAATATTGTGCAAATCCCCTGATGCACGTATGCAGCTGATCGCGTCTTCAATGTACTCCTTTGGTGTCTCATACTCAGCCGGATCAATTGGGCGCCAGAAGGGATGTCCAGACTCCAGTGAGCGCCAAATGACGGAGGACTTATCGGGCAAACATTCGAACAAAGCGGGGCTTGGAAGAGGTAACCTCTTTACCTCTTGTTCGGTGTTCTGAGGCGGACTGGAAGCGAATAGAATACAATCAATGAAAGACTACACTCTGCGCACAAAGTAAACCAAAAATCCAAGCTATACCAGGAGACTTTACAGTGTCATTGAAATCGTGGGCCTAGGTGTATACAAACAAGCATACAAACCTCTAAGAAAAGCCTATTATACAACATGGAAGAAAAAGTGCTTTCCATGCCTTTGTCAATACATGCCATGTAGGTACAGTAGCGCAGTTCATGAACGCTTCCTATTAATCGGCTCACCAATGAGTTGAGGAATGCGTCCGCTCTGGAGACTCAATGTAAAGTATGTTAACATCTCTCTGCTCGACTGACCAGTTGGTATGTCTGTTGTCTGGCACAGGAAGACTTAGTAATTCGATGGATAGCGTTGCATCAGTTGGTCCGTTTGCTTTCACGACAAAACAAGAGTGGCGACACTGACAGACATCCGTACTGGAACTATCAATGTGTTTGAGAACTGACTCATACTTGACAACGGTCCAGGTACAGAACAGAGCCAAACGGCAATTCCCGAGCAATAAACTAGGCGCAATTTCGCTCCGAAACCGTGTAAATGTGACGGAAACACACATCACGTGTACAAAAGATTGTCTCTATTTCCGTGAGAGGCCGCAACCCACCATTAACCGGGATGTGAGCACCGAGTGTAATCAATACAACGGAGCATACAGCGTGGGCGTTGAACAGCAGCGGACTCTCGGTTCACAAGCATGAATCATCACATCAATACAATGGAGCTACCTTGTATCGAGTGATGCTGCAGAGCATAAGTCAATCAGGCGAAAAATGCCAGAATTCCGGTTAGGGGTCATAAGGATGGTGCACAAAGCAAATGGAAGTCTACAAAGCCGAAAGCTAGGCGTATCAAAGATGAGGTAGCGCGTGAGGATGTGGTCAATTGCAATATTAAACATGGTTGGGCTTTCCGAATCAAATTCGTCCTAATCATACTCTGGTTCACAAAACCAAGTTTGGGAGTACCAGATTCGGCAAACGACCAAAGGGTGAACGCGCGTAACCTTGATACCGAAGATAATTCGCGGTGTACCACTTGTGCCTGAATGGGCACTCCGTGTAAACTGAGGATAATTGGACAGTGGTCTGTAAGTATGGAAACCACAACTAACTCGAAAATTATCCACTTTCCAGTGTTACGGCCGCAACTCATATGGGATGGATCTCATCGTCATCATTATACATGTTAGCTAGAGGTGGAAAACACCTCAGCTATCGTGCCGCAATAAAAAGTGGTAACAGAGGCACGAGAGCTAAGCTACCAGTAACGGATGGGCGTCCTTCCGGTGAGATATCAGCTTTCGCAAAAAGGAAGTTATATTTAGCGTACAAAACGAGATCGTGATAGGGGGGGAAGGACAAGGAAACTTCCAATACGAATGCGACTGAGATCGGACCCTAACCATATCAACAAGTGTATCCAGCCAAACGTGTTCATCGTTTTTCGGACTCCAAGCGTGGACTATGTAGTGTATGTAGAACATAAATGGCTGGATAAAAAAGCACGACCCGCGCACTACACAACGAAGAAAGTGGCCCTAAGTGATTGAAAGTTCATCGTCATCATCACCTAGTGTATGCGGATAACAGTGGGCGTGCAACGAAGTTACAGTTGCTCAGCGATAGGTAATTGTAAACTGATCATTCTTGGTTACGTTACAGTAGGGACATAACAGACGATAAGCAAACACGTCGAAACGCGTAAGTGAAGCTGATTGATGTGCAAGAAAGCGGAAAAGGTCATGCGACATGACGCAAAATTTGATGGGCATATCAGACGGAAGAATGCACAAAACCGGACACCTGAGCAAGCGTGTGCGGTTGAGTATGCGATGAATTCGTCAGACTAGCATTAGTCTTTCAGGCATAAACACAAACTGGAACTAAAAACAAGTAGAGGGAAATCTATATTGAAGAATAAATTTTTAACACGTTTTAACATAATAAGCCACTAAGTACTAACCGAAAAAACAGTCGACTAGCCCACGGGAATAGATTCGAGAACCAATCCGAGGCAAGATGTGCGAACTGATTTGATCGCCCCGAGTGCGACCATCCGCTATTCAACGAGGGTATGTTCTCAGAATCCTGCGAACAGTCGAAAAGGTGGTCTACTAGTCGATCCCGGTAACTGGCTGTCCGATACCAGGAAAGGTGGTCATTATGTCAAGACGACTAGCTTATTCAATATGCTTTATATGTGAATGAACCGTGAGTACGCTGTTAAAGGCAATACCACTGGGACGAGGAAGAGTCAGTCAGTAGTGCTACGAAAATGTCGGATAAACATTAGGTGCCAAGACAGCGTAGTAGTTGAGTGCGCTGCACAATTTTATCGCTGAGACGCAAAAGGAAAACGTCAAACTATGCCTTAAGTTAGAAAGTTTGATCACTGACCTTCTACTGATCACACGATGGTCGATGACACCAACTCCATGGTTCCGGTTACTACCAGCACATCTTCAACAACATATACGAGGACGCACAAGTCACATAAACAGACTGTGCATGCAGCTCTGTGGCAAACCAACTTCCATCGTACAATGTGCAGTGAATCAATCACACGTGACCGATGTCGAACATGCAGCCTTTTACGGTCATGGTTACCCACGTGTGTGTGTGGTAAAAGCGAAGGAGACTGCAATACAGAAACCGGTGTAAAATGAAAATGCAGACGCTGTTCCTGTGAACTACTCTCACCAGTGCACTTTCTACAACAGGCATCTGGAGTGAGAATGAGGAGGGTGCATGTGGCGTTGATTTAAGCAACAATTCACGCAGTGCCGAAAGTAGTTCATCGACGAGGATAACAAGTGCGGTTGGTCCAAAACCACTTGCAAGAAGGAACGCGAAGTCCGAGTTAGCAAAACGGTTGAAGCACAACACAATTGCCTAGTACAAAATGGCGATTTGTCAATCCCGCAGAAACAACGAAAAACCAAAGCTTAGTGACCTGGAGACAATTGGTCCATCGCGCGAGCAGTGAGAGGTTCGATATCCGTGGTGCCATGGACGAAGGCATTTACAAAACAACTAGCGTGACTTCATTCGAACTGGACGCAGGGTGTGAGACGTTTCGAGTTTAGAGCACAAAAGTCCAGTGTGAATGAAAGGATACATCTCAACACAAGACAAATCGGACGTGCCAACGTGTGGTAGGGTAATGTCGCATATTGATTTCGTTAAACAGTGATAAGGACTGGCTAACCAACAGGATTGTCGCCCTAGCAACATCAAAACAAAACAGCTGTGGCTAAGAAAGGGTGAAGCGAAGCCGTTACTGCACTTGTACAATGATTGATCAAGATGGATTCGCGCGGGAGATGTCATGTGTCCCACTGCGTTCGATCAATGGTTGTCCCAATGCGTTCAGCACCGCGCCGAAGTTCCCTCGAGAAAAACAGTCCATTTCTCGTACGGAGAGGAAGTAATCAAGATTCTAGAAGCGGCTCCCAATGCTCGGGAATTCATGAGGTTGTGATACAAGCGGTTCGCTTGAACAATGTTGTATTGTGAATAAAAAAGGTCGAAGCATAACATGTCTAGCTGGATGGTCGGTTAGAAAGTCCAAAATAAAATCGAACGACGATGATAAGCAGTGAACGACCATTAAGAGTGGAGTTGCCGAGTAAAATTGTATCTATCTGAATCGTTTGCAACCTCAACGTTTTTGGTTTTCCTCAATGAAGCAGGTGTGGGATGGATGTGGTCAGTCTTCCAGATGTATAGTGCGGCCACAGGAGTGATGAAGGTCTCCGAACACAGCTTATATAGTGGAAATAACAGATTGTGGGAGGAAATTCCATGCATGTATTCGCTACGGCAGTATATATACTACAGATTGGATGATGCAACGAAGATGAGCATGACCCATGCGTATGATTGACAAGCAAAACCATGAGAAGTTCCATACTCATCGTCAGCTGGTGACCGGAGGGATAATACGCTTGGTTTGTAACCCAGAAGTCACCGGTTCGAATTCACGAAAATGTGGGCGATCTCGCGACGTACCTATCCCACGACCGGCCGATGATGGTCACGTGGCAGCGAAGCATCGGTATGGTGTGCTGGCGTACTGATGATGTTTTTTTCAATTCCAAGTATGACAAATACGTAGCGAGAAATCCCGTAGACACTTCAGTTGGATGCATTGTTCTGCCAGGTTGAAGCAATGGCTAATCAGTCAGCTGTTTTAACGTGTGAGAGCATAAGGGGTTAGGATTGCTTAAATTTGATAAGACATCATATGCTCATCACGCAAACGAGGATATCGTCGGCTGAAAACTTTAGCCTTCTTAGTCGCTCTTCGTATGGAAAAAAGGAATAGTCGTTGGACAATTTCGGTGACCAGACGTTGCAGGATGTAACAAATAGTGAGATCTCGCTCGCCATGGCTTCAGAATCCAGTTAGTCACTTCAACCGGTCAATCTAAGGTGTTGTAGAATGTAGCTTCAGTTTTCCCCCTAGGTGTACATGGAGAGCAATGTTGCATGATCCCTACGACCTACAGGAGTGTCATTGGTCACTTTCTCGATGATGAGTTCTTGTTAGTGAGTATCAGGTGCAGCATAAATGACGTGTTAGCTCCCTTGAGTCTGATGGGCAAGGTGGTGTGACCATAAAGCTGCCAGTCTCCAGAGAAGGCTGAAGATTCCAGAGCATATAATTTAACATGAGAGCGATCAGAATGTGACTGTAGTATCTGATTATGATTCACATCAATGCAGTCGCAAAATTGAAGCCCATCATCAGTTTCGAGGATGAGAGGCAGAAAAACGATCATGAGACAAAGTTCGTTTCCGCTAATCCGTGGGCGACACTAACTGAAATTTGGCACAAGTTTCCAAATCCTGTATGGATACACATTCATGGTCGCTATGGAGAATACAGAGTTACCTAATCACGTTTACTTGCACAAATACTCCAGAAAACGAACGTAATTGTACTCAGAAAGAAAGAAAACGTTTAAAA